CATCTCTAGATAAATGTAATTTCTTACTATAAGCAAAATATGGATCCTTAAATTTATAGACAAGTATCCCAGCCACCACCCATCAAAGAAGCTTCTTTTTCAACAGACAGAGATAATTACAGAGTTCCACAACTGGTCACACACAGAAATTATGAATTGCCCAGGCCTAAGTGGCACATCTACAATGCAACCTTTATACCCAAGGCTCATACAATACAGAACAAGGGGTAAAGAGAACACTAATGCATTTCTCAATTCTCATCAATGAAGCTCCGTCATGCAACAGAGGGCCAGGAATCCAAAAGGTCACAAATGGCCAAAAGGCAGAGAATAAAAGTCTGCAGAGTGTGAATCCTTGGACGGGACTCCTATATTCAAATGTATGCAGAGCTTAGAGACTATTGCATAAGAGGGGTCAGAAAGAGCCAGGGAGGAGGTGCATGACAGGAAATAGTCCTACAGTTTCCTGGGATCTTTCTTACATAAACCTACAGCAATGGGGTATCATTATGCACAAGATTCATGCAAACTCAAGCAGACAAAAACCCAGCACAGAACTATGGAAATGAACAGCAGACCCTAATCTTAGTCGAAGAATTATTAGAAGCTGATTACTGCTGGGTGAGGAAAAGCTGATCTTCTTAAAGGGAGGGACTCTAGATAGGCTGACTAGATTCCAGTGAATGAACTTTCACTGAGGGACATCTGGGGACACTAACTTTACATGATAGGCATTAACACAAACGACAGAATGTATGAACTCAAGTCGGGGTGAGGGGGCCCTCTGCGAGAGTGCCAAAGGAGAAAGGGGTATAAAGATGATTTTCTATGTTAAATACATTAAAATTTAATAAAAAAAATTAAAAGAGTATTAGTTCTCCTCAGCATGAATTACAGACTTAAATCAGTAGTTCTTTCTTTTAGATATAAACATGGTTATTCTTTTTTGGTTCTCTTTTTGTTTTTTCTTTTTACAAGGGCTTACTATATAGCCCAAGATAACCTTAAACTTACAATCCTTTCCCTCCTACCTCTGTCTTAAAAAAAATCTACAATCACTAAAGTAGTTTAGGAAAAGAAAAATAAAAGGGCAAGAATCAGTCTACTCAACTGTGAAACATACTTGTAGGCATCTCTGATTTTTGACACTGAGACATGACATTATCTATGAAGTTCACACTGGAAAGTCAAACAATTGAGTTAGAAAAAAATTTTTTTTGAGACAGGGTCTCCCTGTAGCCCCAGCTGTCCTGGAACTCACTATGTAGACCAGGCTGGCCTCGAAATCACAGAGATCCACCTGCCTCTGCCTCCCAAGTGCTGGGATTAAAGGTGTGTGCCACCATACCCGGTGAAAAAAAAATTTAAAGTCACACTTTAAGTAAATTAATGATTCTGTGTTGGACCACATTCATAGCTATCTCAGGGAACATGTAACCAATGGACCACAGGTTAGATACCCCTGCTAAGATTGCAGGAGCCGCAATTGTGTAATAAGGGCAAAGAGACACATGTAATATAATGTTTACTGCTATGGTTTTGAAAAAGTTGCAAAAGCAACTCAGCAGAAGAAAGTGTGTTCAACAAATGACTCCATCAGGCATCAACATGTACCTTCACAGATAAGTGACATGTTACAAAAATAAATAACTCAATATGTATCAGAGACTTAAATGCAGAGTGTAAAACCATAAAACTCTTATAAGTAAACGGAAAAATATCAAGATCCAGTACTAGTTGTCAAAGCCTTAAAACTGACAGTAAAATTATAATCCACATGGGGAAAATTAGGAAATTAAGACTCACTAAGATTAAAATGTTTTACTCTGAAAAGACCCCATTAGGAAGATAAAAATACAAGCTACAAGTTTGGAGAAAATATTTGCCAATCGTAGATCCAGCATGATACAAATTTTCCAAGTGTTTAAAGAACTCTTAAAAGTCGACAATTAAAAAAAACTCAAATTAGGAAATGGGCAAAAACATGAACAGACCTTTCATTTGAGGAGGATATACAGGTGGCAAATTAGCAACTTGCACATCGTGTGCCATTAAGGAAACGGAAATTGAAACTGCCCTGAATACCACAAACACTCATGAGAAGGGCTGAACTGTGAGCACTGAAAAAGGCTGGCTGCGGGCCATGCAGGATCTCTCTGAATTATTTGTGATTGTATGTGGATCTACAGTTAACCCAGAATCAAAATGTTTGAGCTCCCCATCTTCAGAGTCCTATAGTCACTGCCCAGCTTATCTCAGTGCCCGTTCATCAGAACCTGAGGCTGCCAGACTCTCTCCTCAAGTCCACTTCCACCAGCTTCTGTTCTTCCAGCTTAAAGGCTGATGGCTCCTGTCAGTCACCACTATCCATGCAGCCATTGCACACCTGCCGGGGTTTGGCCTCCGGGTGCTTCCCCAGGGCTCTAGCTATTCCTCTTCATTCTGTATTGGCTCCTCCTGCTCTCCTGACTTCACTCAGAGCCCCAAAGCAGCTTCTAGCAGTAACCAGTCTCTGGAAGGTGTCTCCCAGCCCAGTGCACCCTAAGCTCAGTCTCCACTGGACGCTCCCTCCACCCTCCCTCAGCACCATGAGCGCCCTTCTGTTGCTTGCCCACTTCCTGTAGCTTCTCTCTCCTGGACATTCTATAGGCACTGCTCACCTGACTGACTTGTCTTCATCTAGCTCTTTCAAACACATTCTGAATGCAGATGTTCGCACCTGGCTTCACCTCTCATGTGAATGAGTAGTCCTAGGCTAACTTCTGAGCATCCCATCCAATGGCCAGTTCACTTAAGAACCTCCACACCACCACCATGGCCTGTCCACTGGACCAGTCCATCCTCAGGGAGCGGGGGCTTCCATCACCCCTATCCATAATCTGCAGCCTCAGCTTGGCTGGGCTGCATCAGGCACCACATGCTTGGCCTGTCAGGGCATGTAGAATTCACTTCTGAAGATCCCACATGGGGGGAATGGCCTTGTGCTTCAGGCTGGCCACAGCCTGCAACAGACACATATAGTCATCAGCAGGGCTGGAGCAGAATGCAGCATCCCCCACACCACTTCCCCAAGCTTCAGGGGCACAGACAGCTATTTCCTAGCAAAACTCATATCAAAAGTAACCTAATTTCCCCTGCATTTTAGGGAAGACATATAGATGCTATGACTTTTTTGAAAAGAAAAATAATAGTTTGTTCAGACCCAGTCAAATCTTCTAGCCTTCAAATTTGACCTAGATCACCCATTGTCGCTGCTGCCCACCTGTCCCTCAGCTGTTTTCTCCCCCACCAGCCTTTTAGCAGTGTGTCCTCATTCCTCCAGGTCCAGCCAAGGTCCCAGTCTCCAAGGGCACCTCCTGCAGCTGCTCTGTCACCTTCATCTCTCTCAAGCCCCCTAAACCCTGCCATCACCTTGCCTGGGTAATGCTCACCAAGTCCATTCCAGGCCACCGTAGAGCTCCAATGATGCTCCTCCCTAAATATTGCCCAGGGCATGGGAGAGGGACTTGTTTTGAAGACAGCTGTGGACCCCAGGTTAGCCAGAGGCTAAGGCACAGCATACAGAGTGGGCACTGTCCAAAACAGGAAGCCTGTCACTGCTGACCAGGGGACTGGTTCTACTTCTTGGTACTTCTCTACCTGGTGGCCAGCTGTCATTGACTGCACTGGCTGGTGAGATGCCTCACCAACTGAACATGTTTAAATAAGAATGGATGAGAGCCTCTGCACTGTTCTGTTACTCCTGGGAAGACTGATGTCTCCTGCTTCCGTCTTGCATGTGCACGCCAAACACTGCACAGAATTCCTGAATTCCAGCATGTTGATTTTACAGCAACGGCATATACCATGTAGAAAATGGTTTATAAGTAAATGTTAAGAACACACTTTTCAAGTTCCTTCGTTACTTGATGTAATACAGTAACAAAAAGAGAACTAGCAAGGCAGCAGGGAAAACTATTGTTCCAAAAAAAAAAAAAAAAATCTTCCTACAACCAATCCACTCCTCCTGTGGGCAATGTCCAAAGTCCCAAGAATCCCCGTTATTGCCTGTTCTACTCCATGGCAAGCACTGTCCAATCACAAAATACGCCTGTTGGTGAATTGTCCTAGCGCCGGGCCTCCAGGCTATGACTGTGATGCTATGGGTGTTGTGGTGCCTACGGGGACTTGGCATGCCCTAGACAAAGCAGCTGGGTTGCACGTACCCTTTCTATTTCAGGAAGCCCAGGAAGTAGGCTGGGGCCAGGCTGGAAGTGTCAGCATGTCCCACCAAGAGCAGCTAGGCCAGATCATTCTGCTGCCCCTCTGAAGACAGGACGCAGATCACGGATCTGTCCCCTTATACCTTCAGTTGGATTTTGTAGCCTGTAAACTTTATTAAAAGATCAACCAAACAGCATGGCTTTTAATCTCTTACTTTTTGTTTTAAAGAGCCTCCTTGGAACCAGGGAGGAGAGCCTGGGGTGGCAACCAGGAGGTCTTGTGGCACAGAGAGGTCTTTCTTGGGGCAGAGAGCATCATTCCTGGAGTACCCACCCACAAGGCCTCCAACCATGTCTTGGAAAAGAGTTGGTGATATGAAAGCCACACACACAGTGGTTTCACACACACAGTGATATGATTTATTTCACTGTGTGTGTGTTAAAAGCAGCAGCTTTGGGGCTTTAATGGTCTCATTTCAGTGCATTCCATTCCAAAGACATAACTAACTACCAGGTTCCTGCCTCAAACATGTATTGTCTGTATGTTTCCAAATTCCCTTCCTCATTACCCTTTGTCTTGGAACACAGGCCTGGGGAGCCAGGGCCTCAAACACTGATGCTGCTACTAGGCTCCCCATCAAAACCAGAGATGCTCTCACAAGTTAATCCCATTAGCTGCACCTTTTCCCTGAGAGGAATTTTCTTTGTTTCCAAAAGCAGTAACTCAACAGACTTCTTACCCTCTAGCTCCCCAGAATAGGCAGGCTATCACCTCCCCGCTCCCAGCTACCATTTTACCTGAAGACTTGCTGACTTTTCTCCAGCAGTAAAGTCTAATGTCCAAATCCAAGTTCTGAGTGGTGAATGGAACACAGTGTCTGGGATAAGAAGTCTCAGCCCCTGCAGCTCTGGAGGGTTGGGCCTCTGGTGCTCCCCGCCGCATCAGCTTCTGGCCACACCCACAGACCTTTATAATGCTGGCAGGCCCAGTGCTTCTAACCCCCACTTGAGAAAGGTTTGGCAGCATGGAAACTTCAGTGAACCCTGGAGAGTGGGAAGCCCCGCTGCAGAAGGCAGACTTTAGTAAAAGCACACATGCAGTACCATACAAGCTCTGCTTCATAGGTGGCCAAAGATGTGCTGGATTATTTTTCCCTTACAAGCAAGAATTGGGAAAATGTGGACTGTTCTGTATTTTCAGAACTCTCCACTAGAGAAAATCAACTTTCTTACTATCTTGTTCTCCTCCAACCCAGAACTGTAGCCAAGGTTATACTTGTAGAAAGCCCTCTCATACAACACTTACATGAACACACATAAATACACAAAGACTGCACACAGAGATTATAAACTACATAGAAACACACAAAGTATACAAATACACAGAAGCCCATATAGCAGCCCATGATGCACAGATAAACACACATTACACAAACCCATGCACACATACAAACACATGAACCGTATACATACACAGAAATACAAACAGGCCCAGAGGCAAGCAAACAACAAAAACACACAATACATGCAGACACAAACTACAAGATGACCCACAAAAGGCCACAGCTGAGCTCAGCGGCGCCCAGTGCCTCATTGCAGCTCTGCAAAGGGTTGAAGCAGTCTGAGCAGCAGCCCAGGGACCAAGGGCCATCTGTGTGAGAAGTGGTGGTGTCAGCGAACCAGCAGGGGTCTCCAAGTCACTGTACTACCCAGAACATGTGGGCATCATCTCTGTACACAGACATGGCCTGGGGCACCACACACAGACACACCTCTTGCGGGACCAGGCATTATACAGGGATTGACAGGAGCTCAGAGGCTTTTGGCTCTGTCTACAGAGTAAATAGCACAGCACAGCAAAGTCTTCTTATCAGAAGAACTTCCATAATCTCCTGGGAAAGCTGCTTACTCCTGGAGTCCAGCTTCTGCTATGTATTTGGTTTTTTGTTTTGGGGCTTTAAAATTTTTAATAAAAATATTTTAAAGATTTAATAATCTTTAAATATTTAAATCTTTAAATGTTTTAATATTTATTATG